CGTCGCAAGATTTCATATCGGTTGAATATTTCTTTTAAATGTGAAGTGAAGAAACCTTTACTTCTCCGAAAATCGTCTTCGTTATCTTAGTTTCTATCTCCTGCATTCATAGTGGCCGCTCAACACATCAAATACAAGCTCTTGGGTAAACTTCTTACAAAAGTAGAAAAAATTCCACGCGCCGCCATCTTTGTTTTGAATTTTCATCTTTTGATCTCGCGCTTCTTTCGCACGTTTCTCTCGCGCGCGTCACGCATGAGTGACCTGTTCCCCGCGCGAGGAAACTGGTACGAGCCACCTCAAGAAGACGTTAATAAACTTGTGCGCGTGCGACTCGCGTGCGCGTGCTTTGGAACTACGTAAACTAATAATGTCGTAAGCAGATCACGCGGACCTTTTGAATTTTGACGTGTGCGATTTGTTAGAGGGAGTTGAAAAGTTTTTAGTTCATCGAGTAGCAGTTTTGTTTAATGGTGAGTCTACAGTTTACCGTGAGTCTACAGTTTACCGTGTTGGAATTAAAGTGTTTGTTTGGATTTCCCGTTTCGCTTCCGAACACTAACTTTAAGAAAGGTGCGGAGAAACAACAAAAGTGATTTTTATTTTCAGCAAAGTGGTTGCTTCAAAGTGGTTTGGTGATGTTACTGCCTCATGGCTATGATGGCGCAGGACCTGAACATTCTTCTTGTAGAATAGAAAGATTCCTTCAGGTGCGTGGTATTCGCTTCAGTTCACTATAGTCTTTGACTGGCTCCGCCTGTTACAGTGCTTTGAAAAATATAGTTCTCAAGGCAGTAAGGACAGTGGAGAAAAGAAACTGGTGACCACACTTTGATACTTTTCTTGTCTCTGTAGATGACAGACAGTCGAGAAGATGGAGTGGACGGCGACAGTGTGAATATGCAGGTGGTGAACCCAACCACGCCTGCGCAGTACTTCCACTTATTACGTCAACAGGTGAGTTAAAATGCATGCCGGGGTAAACGAGGCGAAAAAGAGGATAACATGGCAAAATTTAAGCTCAAGTATGGAGTGAAAAAAGATCTTAAAGAATTTTAATTTTTTTTTCTGCTACTGAATCCCTCGACGGTTTAGTTACAGTAGTCACTACTGAGCAGTGCTTTCTTCAATCAAATTCAATTTTGGAATTTTTTATTTAAAATATTATTAGTAACCACGAATAGTCCTTTTTACAGTTCTGGGCTTGGTGGCCAAGCCTTTGAACAGGAGTGTGGCTAAGGGTGACCTTGTTATGATAGAGATGTTGCTGCTTTTCAAATGCAAATTTCTTTGTTATCATGCTAACTAAATACAGGTCTCTATCACAACAGGGTCACCATTAGCCTCACTCCTGTTCAAAGGCTTGGCCACGAAGACCACAATTGTAAAAGGACTATTGGTGAAATTTTGTCTAAATCCGAACTGTGTGCCTGGAATTCTGTGATAGTTTAACAACGGTAGAACACGTGTTTTAATCTACTTTATAACAGACCCATTTAATTTCATTGTCTATACTTTCCGATAGTGATTCGCTTAGGAAAGCCGTTAGCCTGAGTCGATCAACGGAAAGCGAAACTAGAACTTGAACTAATTGCCTCATATAAATTTGCTCCCATTTTACTACAATTATTATTCTTTGTCCTAGATGGTCCGTGACTTCCGGAAGCCACTGATTGTGGTGGGACCCAAGCTGTTATTAAGACTTCCGGTGAGTGAGATGGACGCGTCTCCTATCCAAGAAAAGTATAGAACTCTTGCTAGTGAAACTAAGACAAGCCTTGGCGCAAGAACCCACTTGGTTCAGCTGCAGACTTTGCTTTTAAATTTATGGCGCGCACAACGGATGAGAACATATTTTTCTCATATTCTCCTCAGGCTGCGGTATCGACCCTACAAGAAATGGGCCCAGGGACACATTTCAAACCAGTACTTGGAGATGACATCGTAAATAGCGCTTTAGTGCGCCGTGTTGTGTTCTGTTCTGGAAAGCATTATTACGCTTTAGCCAAGCAAAGGGAGGCGACCCAAAGCTTGGATACAGCTATTATTAGACTGGAGGTAGGTGACTCGTTTTAATACTAGAAAGCGAGCTGTTGCTTAATTCAGTGGGCCCTTTTTTAAGGGGATTCACTCAAAGCCACTTCAAGTGTCCCCTGATCAGAGGCGTCAGTTTTATGAAGATAACAGATGGCAGCATTTTTAATGTGTTTGTTTGTTATTGTTCTTGTTATCGGCAGTAAATTTAAAGTTTGAAAGTCCACCTGCGAAAACCGCGCAAATCACCAAGGAAGGATCATAATTTGGGCATTTAGGAAAAGCGGTGTCCCTTTGGTGGGCAATCTTGACTTCAAAACGTGGCCAGAAAACTGCACAAAATGCAGGAGGGGTGATAGGGGTTAAGAACCAGGATTACCTTTAGCTAGGAAAGGAGAGGAATAAGGACACTTCCATTGATTTCATGCAGCGCCTCCGCTTATCACGGTTTTCGGATAACCGTAATAAGTTCTAGCGTTGCATGCGGGCCACTTCGCCCGTGAGCAGGTTTGCTTATACTAATAAGGAAAATTCCTTTTTGCTTACAATGGAGTTTTAAAGTTACAGCTTTTCTTTATTTTCTCCCCAGTCGTTATGTCCATTTCCAGCTGAAATGATTCGTCAAGAGCTGAAAAAGTTTCCTAAAGCGAAAGGTATCATATGAATAGTTGCTCCTATGTTCTGTTTAAACATTAAACGAATAGCTTTGATTTTGACAGCCATATACGACTTTTCTATGCAGAATTTGTTTGGAGTCAGGAGGAGCAAAGGAATATGGGAGCTTGGAGTTTCGTATCACCTCGATTTGAGAATATTCTGGGAGTTAAGGTGAAACGATGATATGAAACTATGATTTACAACCGACCGGATATCAATTCTTGTAACCAGTTTTTTTGTCTCTGAATGGTATAGCTGCTTTCGGATTGCGTGTCAGGGTGAGGTGGAAGTTCTATAGGAACTTCAGTTCTTCTCTTGTTCATAGAGTAACGGGTTGATAGACGTTTTAATACTGATAAAGCACTGGCCAATTGTCTGATTAATTGACTTACCAGTTATCTTGCTGATTTGGTTTTATCAACTGAGTTGATGTTGTGAAAAGGCAACCGTAGCGAGGTTCTTAGCAGCTTAGCGCCTTTACTGACTCAACGACTGACTGACTGACTGACTGACTGGTTGAATGACTGACTGATTAACTGACTGATTGAGCTTGTTTGACAGACTGACAGACCAACCAACCGACCGACTGACTGATTGAGTGACTGACTAGCTGATTGACTGACTTATTAACTAACTGACGGACTGGCTGGCTGACCATNGCGAGTCACGCATAACACTCACTTGTACAGACTTTTAAGCCGCAATCGTGATAGTTTTCTTATGACTGCTTTTCCCTGAGTCGTCTGCGTGGGAATTCAAATTAGCTGTTTGAGTAAATAACAAAAAGTTATCACAATCCAATTCCAACAATAGGGACCGACGCCAAATGTAAAACACTACGTAAACATGGAAGTCCTGCTACACCCCTATCGATAATATTACCAGCAAAGTTCACGCCATTTACATCGCACCCAGCATGTAAAATTAACCTCATGGTTTTAACGCAGAGAAGCTTGTACGCATTTCCTATAGTTTTTTCATCAACTGGCGTTTTCTGCCACGTCGCTAGATGCAATAATGTATTTCCCTCGCGGTTACGAATGTCTAAACGCACAATTCTTTGAACAATGTTGGCTATTCCTACCGTTTCTTTGCTCTCTGAAACGTGAAAATTGGTGTACAATATTATAACTGTCTGGGTTAAATATTAGTGACGTTTCCTTCAGATCGTATTTTAGAACCTCGTGCGTCTCTTCTAGTAGTCTGTGTACACGGTCTAAGTTTTGCGTTTTTGAAGTTTATTGCGTTTGTTGCGAAGTTTTTGGATCTTGCGTATCTAACCACTCAGGCGTACAGAGAGGACAATCGGTAAGGACGTGTTTTTACCTTTCTTGGTTTCATTTCGTCGGTTTATTTGTAGTTTAGTTGTTTTGCCGTTTCCTGCGTTCGTGTTTTTATCCTAGTATGCAAGTCTTTAGCAGAGTATGCATGTCCTGTCTTCCATGACGGCCTCCCCGTGTACCTTTCCAACGAACTTGAAGAAATACAAAAGCGGGCTACGCGCATTATTTTTCCTCTTTGCTCATATAGTAACTTCTCCTTACGGACTCCTCCCTAATGAGGAGACTTTGCTCCTCCCCGTCGGTTTCCGCACTCGAGAGGTTCCACTGTAGAATATGCATAAAAAATCAGTTGGGAAATCGAAGAGTCAACAGATCGCCATTATTTAAGTTTCCTTTATCATTGGATCACTAGTAAAAACAGGAAAACTTAATCTTTGAAAACAATGGAGATAAGTGATTTGAAAATTAAATGATCTCCATTAAAAATTTCTTACAATCCTGCTCTTGCAAACGTCTTGTATTAAAACTTGTTCAAAGCTTGGGATATTTCGTAACTATTTTTGGTAGTTCATGTTATTCAGTGGACTGTAACGAGCAAGACTTTCGAGTTCTTTTAGTGACTTTTGTTCTGCCCTTTTCCGCGCTTCCGTCACCAAGACAAAATAAAAAAGGAAAACAAAACCAAGGGAGGAGTTAAATCTATTATTTCGTGACTGAAGCATCCCCAGAAAAGCCTCAGGAAAGAATCTGCGTACATCCAATGGGAATAGGGTCTTCTCGTTTCGTTGTTTCGAGTCCTTGGCCCCTGACTGCTTGTACCCTGTGAAGGGGACCGTGATACGTAACAAGAGGAAAAAGAGAGTGCATGAAGGAAAGTGTCTTACCAATTTAGGGTTCGCGGTTTTGAGGCAAATGGAGACAGGCACTGGGCGAGCGTGAAGCGGGAGTCACACGCGAGGGTAGGAGCGCGAAAAAATATGTACTCAAGGCTAAACTCATCGTAAAGTTCGAGGGAAGAGCATCGGAGCGCGACATGCGGAGACTGGGTAAGAGACGGCGACCTCTCATACCCAGGTTATTTTCAGCCAGTCATTATCTGGATATTTTTAAAATGGCGGCTAAACAGTCGTAGAAAGTGTAAAATTTCACTCGTCAAATTTACCTTATCTGAGACAAAGAACCTATTGCAAGAGACGAGACAGAACACCTTTGTCCTAGAGTAAATTTTTGTATTGCAATGTAATCCGAACACTTGTTAATAAGAACGATTTCTCTTGTGACTACGTAGAGAGGACGTCTGCAAGAGCTTGTCAGCACGTGCTAAACTTGTTTGGAAGAAGTGAAAATATGAGTAAGAAATCTGCAGGCCGTACAAGGAATGCAGTTCCTACAGTGGAGCAAATTTCTTCAGATCGAATCACCAAGGTACAGTAAAAAAATTATTTTCGATTACTCAGTGCTGAAGGAAGAAGTTCGTAAATTATTGTAAACATCATCCGATGCCAGCTGTGTTCCTAGTTCTCTTTTACCTGAATCTTTAGACGGTTGCAAAGTTTGGGTTCGAGAGTTTCTTTTTAGGACGCAAACTTAAAATATTTAATAGTTTTTTCTGGTTCCTTTGCGTTAGCGTGAAGATCCACAGTAGATATGTCGGATCTTCAGTTAATTTCTCCAGATCTGACATATTTGTTTCGTAGGTTCTCTATGGAAGTTAAGGAGATAAACGGTGCCTTGGTGCAAACATAACTCCAGTATGGCTCGATAATGGAGAGAAAACACAATAACTTGTCGTTTATTCTGTAGATGTAGAGTATGCTTGGTAAAGAGCATAGCATGTATGGTTATTTGTCAATTTCTTGCTTTTTTGTTTGTTTGTTTTTTTTTTTTACAGCTTGCAGGTCAGTATTGGGCTCCTGGAGAAAGTAAGAAACCCTACAATCCTCAGGTACAAACTTGGTCTATGCATAAAAAAGGAAGAAATCTTATTTTCTGTGATAAACTCATGTGAAAACACATGTTAAAAGAAGCTAGGTAGATGCAGGCACCTCTCTGATGAAAGAAAATTCAATAAATGTTAAAATTGACTAAACAGAACGACATGTAAACTACTAGACAATTAAAGGAGGTGAGCTAACTACAAAGAGAGTGATTTTGTTCTTGTTACTGAGAAGAGTACACAGTGTGCTACAGGTGGATCACTAGTACATTTTACTGGAGAAATAATGACTTTTTATTTTGTTTGTGTTAGACTGTTGATGACATCTACAGAGATGAAATTAAAGGCAGCATGTAAGTAATGGTCTTATTAACCCTTTGATCCCAACGAATGACCAATACATCATTTCTCCCTATAATGACACCTCTGAGTCAAGCATTAAGGTTTTGAGAATAAAGTAAATGATCAACAACTAAGGAGCTCTTGATATTTATACAAATGAATAAATGGTATACACCTCAGCTTACGCTATTGAGTTATAGATGCATGGGGGAGGTTGCTAAGCACAAAAGAAGCGTAAGAGTTGCTCGAGGTGATAGCCGAGAGTGACTTTAGCTTCTTGAGTGCCTAGTTAACCTCCCAAGTGCATCCATAACTCAATAGTGTACGCTGTGGTGTTTACCATTTGTTTTATAACATAACATTGATACATTGTAGCTAAAGAGTTCCCTTTTATTTAACAAATCTTACGCAACCAGAAAAAACAAGTGTGGGCAGAAAAATAGTGTTTGCATTTCTCACGTCAGCAGCGTAAACACATGGGCAAATGGGGGATGCTAAATTGACCAATCAGAGCGCGTGCTTTACTTTGGTTATGTTATAATTCTCCTTGTCAGCACCTTAGGAAATGTGTAGAAAACAGTTTAGATAATGTACATACTGATGCTGTGTGATCAAGAGGAAGCAGTTGTCAAGCTTCTGTTCCAATTAAAAATGATATTGATGGCTTGCACTTGATAACTGATCGGTCGGAGCTTTTGCTTTTAATTTCCTTTTAAAAAAATGATGTCATTGTCTGATTACCGTTAAATGTGTTAGTAAGTAGGATGGAACTGAAAGAACATGTAATGATTCTGTTCATCTTTTGAACAGGTTTTCTGTGAAGCGAGCCATGCTCTTAGAGTTCAGCCAATACTTGGAAAATTATTTGTGGCCCAATTTCAATGCAGATAAGGTTTGTGAACATACATTTAAAAAAAAAAACCTTGAGAATTGTTGTTTCTTTTTTTATGTTGAGAAAGTTAATCTTGAGAGGGAGTGGAATTTGTGAGTCATGTATACTAAATAAAGATATCTTACAGTGTAACAGTGAATGATCAGAATTGTTGTTATTTTAACTGTGATGTCTTCCAGGCTTCTGTTGAGCATGTCATGTCTGTCATTGTGATGGTGAATGAAAAGTTTAGGGAAGGCGTACCACCATGGGAGGTAGGAGTTTTGTGCATTGAAGTCAGAGGAATTAAGGAAATGATCACTTATTAATTTAAAGATATTCTTGATTGCTAAACAAACTCTTCTTGTCAGCGCCTCAGGAAATGCAAATAGAATGGTGTGGAAAATATGCATACTGATGTTGAGGTTGAAAAGGGTGAAGATAATGGTATAAGTTATGGATGAAGTCAGGAGTTTTATTAAGTGCCTGGGCACTGGGCAAATGGACTGGTTGTGAGGACGGTTTTGCCCACCTGGTTTGACGATCTGGAGGAAAGTTTATCTCATAAAGAAGTTCAATTCCAAAAGTTTTGCCTGCTTGTGAAAACCAGTTACTCTCCTGCTGAAAATATTTATTTAATGAAACCCCCTGGGAGGTTAATTGTAAATCATGACCTGACCTGGGAAGGATATGAAAAAAATCTTCTCTTAATAGAAGCGTAAGTGTATTTTTAGATAATCTTGATACTTGA